ACCTCCCTGGGGCACAGTCCCAGGCAGTGTGTATGGAGGTCCTGGGATGCCCCGATGTCAATACCCCCTCTTGGTCTTGCTGATGTGGTCCAAAGGAAAGCAGAGCAATATATTTGGCACCAGCTTTGCTGCAGGAGTTGCCAGAAGGGGCATACAAGACCAATGCCTATATTGTAAATCTTTTTATTTTTTAACAACCTGCTTAAAAGTGTCTCTATTTTGTTAAAAATCTTCGGATTCCAAGCTCTGGGCTGTTGCCTGATTGCCAAGTGTCTTATATGTGTTTAATTCTCCCGGAGGTGTGCTGCAACTCTGAGCTGAAAATTCATGTCTCAGCTGGCTAGGGACATGGGCACCTATAGGCAAGGGCGCAAGAAGGGGTGCCTGGGTACTTTATGGAGAGCAGCTGCAAGGCAGAAGGGGCCTTCTGTAGGTGTGGGTGAGCTTGAGTTCTCCCCAAGTCAAAAGCTGCACTTTGATGCTACCCAATGATGCTCAAATGCACATCTCTTAGCCAGGGCAGCACTGCCTATTTAACTTTCTTTCAGTTCTCTGTTGAGTGACAGGCTTTGGACATTCAGAGGGTGAGTGCTGCCACTTAAGAATTCAAACTGGTCTCTGATCCTTGCTGAAGCAGCCACCTTGGGGCCTCTCCCTGATCCTGCAAACTCTGATGCTGCCACTTGTACCCACTTCTTTGCTGGCCAGCTCCTGCTGGAAGTCAGCTCCCTCTAAGTTTTGATCACCACTGCAGACTTGCAACTGGAACAGGGCAGCCTTAGGCTTGCTGGGCTGCCTTGCAACCCTCTCTATCAAAGATGGTTTTAAGGAGATGGCAGAACCTCAAAACTATCCTTCTTCTGTGGGGTCCTTAAAAACAGAGAGCGCCTCTTTCTCATCTATCCAGCCCATCACCTGCCATTTCAACAGGCCTCCCAGTTCCTGGCTACAATCACAACTTTTTGTTTTTAATTAGGGCTGCCAATCACCTCTGAAACTTATTAAGAGCTCATCCAGCTGTGGAAGATAAGAGCCTGACAGGTTGCTGGATGAGCTGTGGAGCCCAGGGTAGCGCTGAGCAACTGATCTCATCTCCATTTCTAATCGTGGAGCAGGCTCCCATGCAGAATCGCCAGGGAAAGAGCAGATTAAACATGGGAGAAGCAGTCAGGGAAACTAATCCAGAGCTTTCGCTTGTGTACAGAAGTCTTAGCACACATTTAAAAACAGCAAATTGTCAAGGGCCACAGCAGTAGGGTTCTCACGATCTATGAGCAGATACTGAATTTCTAGGGTCCTCACATCCCACCGCTTTCAGGAGCTTGCCACCATGCCATACCCTGCTGCTATCACCTACAGAAGTTTGTTTGCTTGTTAGCAGAATGTGTCTTTGGTGGAAAACACTGAGCAGAGCACGCAAGTCGATTCCAGCAGCGTACCAGTTGTCTACCTACATATTCTCCAAGCAATTCTGCAGCATAAAGAGAATTTCTTGGCACTGAGTGATGGCTTTAGAAGCCTGAACATCCAAAAAGGGAACTGGAGATTGATGAGTATCTAAAGAAAAACACTCAAATCCAATATGGTGTTTTCCAGCCTGTTTTGTCACAGAGATCAGCCCAGCTCTAGAGATGCCAAACCTATGTCGGTACACTGGAATTTGATCTACAACACCATAAATTTAGGTCAACATCTTCCAGGCGCTTGCATTAATCTTTAGGAGGAGGCGGGAGTCACTCTCACAGTTCATTTTGATGCTCACTGAAGAGCAGCAGGTCGGGTGCAGTTGCCTAGAACACAGGGTGTTAGAGGAGTGCATAGGAAAGATTATTATTTATGGTGCTTGTGTGGCTTTGTTAAAATTATTTCTGTACTGGCTTCTGTAAAGAAATTTGACAGTTCTCTGGAGAGCTTCTGCAGCCTTCCTACTGGAGGACAGCAAAAACCACACAACTCTTGAGAAGTGCAAAGGAGCCACCTGCGAGATAAGGGCCAACCCAGAACAAAAACCTCTCTTTTTGAGACTGCCTTTTAAAAAAAGTCTGAGGATGTACTAAATGGGGATGGGGGGAATATAGAGCACTGTTGCATACCTGTTTGAAAACATGCCCACCAGTGGGTGAAGGGCATATAGAGAGTTGCTACTTTAGATGCTCTTGCATAAAGATGTGTACAACTGCAAACCACTATGTACAAAAGGACACTGGAAAGACATTTCAGAGGCTACACATGTACACAGCCCAGGAGACTGTGTGAAATCTTGCAAATATAAACACCCGGTAATCATAGCTTGCCACATCTGGGTGGAGCTGGGAAGTCCCGAGAGGGAGCAACTTCTATATATCAATTGGTTAATACATCAAATGTAGTTAATAGTCAACTTAAGAGAGCCTGAAGTTTTGCCCACTCTTGACATATTTTGCTATGCCTGGACTGAAGAGGGAGAGCATGTTATTTATGGAGTAGAACATAACAGAAAAACCACAGAGCTATAGTTAAAAGGTTATCTAGGCTGGAGGAGGAGGCAGTGGTCCATGGGCCAGGTTTTAGAATTCATCAGTCATGAGGGCTTATTGCTTAATTAGACTAGCAGTTTATAGGAAGCCTTCTAGACGTATGCATGTATAATCTGGGACAGCCCAAAAGTTAGTTCTTCAGTGAAAAGTTGGTGAGACCACTCTCCTCTCTTCATAATTTGGTTGTCAGTGCTTACCAATGACCTCTGCAATTTAGACTGGCTCCACTCCATGGGTCTATTAGTTCCAAGACGGAACTGCCAGATTCATAGGTCTGAATCCAAGGGACAAATAAATAGGCCATGTTTACAAGATTCATCTCCAAAGCAGAAGCCAGGTCAGAATGACCTTAAGTCTGACTCACCATGGCTATTATTGCAGTTCTGAAGAGTTGGTAGCATAGGACACATGCCATTTCTGCAAGCCCATACAATACATACTGCTGTAAATGTTTTTTTCAGAGTTGCCAGGTTACACCTCAGTAATGGACTATCGAGGGCTGGTGTAAGTACAGCTGTCGATGGTGACACCTGATGAACCAAAGGCATCCTTTTGTCAATTTTTAAGCATTCAATTTGCTTTCTGGTGGGTCGTCTTCACCTCCCCTCTGAAGAGCTGAAAATGAACAGCAGCTGGGGGAGTCTCTCACCTCCAGGATTTGCTTATGAAAAGTGCACCATAATTGAGCTTGTCAAAAAGGGCTTTGATTAATGTGCTCGATGAAGCCAACTTAGATTAGAAACTTAATATCCCCAGAGAGTGTGTGTCTTTCCATGTGAGGATGTTAAGTTCTGATTAAAAACAAACAAGCCTTGCAATGCTACAGACCCATGATCTGATTCAACTCAGGTTAGGCTTAAATGCAAGGAATTCAGAGGAGCCACTTGATGTGAATGTTTTGCTTCAGGAAAGTTTGATGCTGTCCCTCCTCAATGATTTCTATCTAACCAAACATCCCATGAGTGCTGAGATGTAGCTGGAAGTGATCCTGCAAACACACGATTAAACCATTGTTCGGTTTTGCCTTAAAACTAATGGGCAACAGACATTTGTTGGAGAAAAGGAGGGTTCTCACTACTCTCAGTGGGCTGATTCTATAAGGCAACTTCATGAGGATTCTTCTTCCTATAACTTTCACAATCTAAATGATGGTTTCCCTCACAGACTGTTTGTGTTAGTTAGCAATCACCAACAGGACTTCCTTATCCTAATCCAAACGTAACCCCCCCCCAAACATTGTTGGTTTCCAACATTCAGCTGTAATTATTAAGTGATGTGAGGAAGATGGATGTGTGAATCACTGGTGCTTTTCCTTCCCATCTCAGCCTATGTGTCTAGACCATCAAAAACCACTGTCAAGAAAGTCAAGATGACTCTCTTAATAAGGAAAAGGAGCCTGTCCGAAAAGAAATCCTGCTTCCGTGCCACCTGGGCCACCAGTTGGAAAACATACTTTGGAAAGCATCAAAGCGCCATGGAACCTATACTAGAGATGTGGAAGGACTGGAGATGTAATCCAGCAATATCTTAACTCTATTCTGGCTATGGGAGGCGGGTGGAGAGATTGCTAGGGATTGAACCTGAGACTTTCTGAATACTGTATTTTTCGCTTGATAACATGCACCTGACCATAACACGCACATAGTTTTTAGAGGAGGAAAACAAGAAAAAAAAATTCTGAATGAAACAGTGGATGTATCATTTTTGTGCTTCATGCTGTGGCCACAGACATGTGATTTGACGGTGAGTTTGGGGTAGCCCAATGCAAAGATCCTGAGAATGCATGTGGATCTGTGCTTTGTAACCACGTTTTTGCACCATTGCAGCCCCAGGCAACAGTGGGTGCGTGATTTTTTTGGTGCAGGCTGTAGCCATGGACATGCTATGTGATCTGATGGTGAATTTGGGGTGACCCAATGCAAAGATCCTGAGGATCCATGTGGATCTGTGCTTTGTAACCACGTTTTTGCACCATTGCAGCCCTGTTTTTGCATCAGATCATTGCTATGTGATCTGATGGTGAATTTGGGGTGACCCAATGCAAAGATCCTGAGGATCCATGTGGATCCGTGCTTTGTAACCACTTTTTTGCACCACTGCAGCCCTGTTTTTGCATCAGATCATTGCTATGTGATCTGATGGTGAATTTGGGGTGCAAAGATCCTGAGGATCCATGTGGATCCGTGCTTTGTAACCACGTTTTGAGGGAGGGAAGGAAAAACATAGAAGGGACAAGGAGCACCGAGAGGGGTGTGCGGAGAAGCAGCTGGCTAAGAATGCAGGAGAGGGGTTTTACCGGAGGGAGGAAAGGAAGGCAAAAGTTCCCCCCACGCACCCACCCAAGCCAGCCAGCTCTCTCTCTCCCCCCCCACCTGCATGTTGCAGCACCGGAGCACGGAGAGGAATTAGAAGGAAGGACGCTCTGCTTTCCCCTCTGCTTGCCTGGAAGGGAGGGGTTTTCTCTGCTCTTTGTTCTGTTTGAGCAAACACAGTAACAAACAGAAGCGGGTGGGCAGTAAGACCCTGAGGCAGAATGCAGGAAAGCAGCAGCTTCCTCTTTTCAAGGCTTCCCTTCTCCGGACGATTGATATTTGCCTGATTTTTGCCTTCACTCACGCCTGTCGGCTCCAGGGACCACACATTCGCTCAATAACACGCGCAGACATTTCCCCTTACTTTTTACGAGAAAAAAATCTGCGTGTTATAGAGGGAAAAATACGGTATATGAAAGTTCTTAGTGGAACTAGGGGGTGATAATGACTGGCTGTAGGCCTGAGAGTGTCAAGGGGGGATCTTTTGCCTTTCTCCAAACATTGAGAGGTGCAGAGGAATCTCAGAGGCTCTCCACCCCTCTTCTCCTCCTAAACGGCCTCAGCCCAGTATACCTGAAGAAGCGTCTCCACTCCCATCATTCAGCCCGGACACTGAGGTCCAGCGCCGAGGGTCTTCTGGTGGTTCCCTCACTGTGAGAAGCAAAGTTACAGGGAACCAGGCAGAGGGTTTTCTTGGTAGTGGCGCCCGCCCTGTGGAACGCCCTGCCATCAGATGTCAAAGAAATAAACAACTGACTGACTTTTAGAAGACATCTACAATATTCCCAGCTATCATTTGCCGGTAAAATGCAAAAATCCTGTTTACGAGCTTCACAAAGCTGCCGCCGATATAAACACAACAGAGGGCTAGACAATGTAAAAACTTTTTTTTTGGTAATTTTTATTTGAACACAAGTATTCTGACAGAATGCAAAGTCAAAATTCTCCGTTAGTATCAGTATTTACATTGGTGAGAATGGAAATAAAGGTGGTATTCCATGTTTCACTCGGTAAAAAGTTTTTTGTCTTTTGTTTTGTTTTTTATAACAAGAGAGAAGGCCCCTAAAACAGGGAATGCTGGGTAGGGATGTGAATGGAGGACTGAGAACCACTATCACCATTGCCTAAGTGAACCCCCAGGGGTCTGAAGACATCCACAGAAAAAGGGGGAGAAATAAAGTAAAATCCACACAGTTGTTGTTGTTTTAAAAAAAGACTCCATGGTAAAACTCAAGCAAGAAAATGTGCTATTTTTTCCTAATACATTGCATGAAATACATGTTTACCGTACTACGAGAAGCTGGGTGGTTATATAGATATATATGTATGACGCATACATATATAAATATGCACATCGTAAACAGTGTATTGTTGGTCCCTATTCAAAGGTCTGTGTCTGCTCAAAAAATAAAATAAACAGGTATAAAAATAAAATTAATGTGAAGACACCTTTAAAATTTCATAAGAGAGAATGTTGCTTCTAAATTTAAAACAAAACTCTTTCGCTGCCAAAGGAGGAACGAACAACATATTGGCAAGAGTGAATAGGCAGAGATACTGAACGCCATTCCCCTCACCAAGAAATAAAAGTCTGCTTCACTGAGAGCTCTGGGACAGGAAGGAGGGCTGCCGATGCAAAGTGGAAACGCTCCCCTGCCAAAGAGCTCTTAATGAAGCAGCCACGGCCTCTTGCCGCCATGGCAACCATGCTGAGAAATGCCTGCCTGGTGAGGGGAAAGAGGGCAAAAATGGCGGCCATCTTGGTTGGTTTGTGAGGGAATTTGTGAGGCTTTGCTCTTGCTCAGGAAGGCTCAGCTGACATCAAAGCCCTTTGAAAGCCACAGGAGTCTTTCCAGGGATGTCGACTGGGCTTTAGCTCAGGCCTCAAGATGGCAGCCAGGCTTTGATTTATGTTCCCACAGGATCATACGGCACACTTTGCCTGTGTGGGCCCCCCTGGGAGAGGCTATTGGCAGATTATGGTAGCATAAGCCTCCCGTTAGCCACTCGTCGCTTAGTGGGAAATATAACATATGAGGTATGAGGCAAGAGTTGGTTGGCGACAGTATTTTGCAGGCCCTCACAATGGCCGACCTTCAGGGACCAAGGGACGCCATTCTTGCTATCTTCCGAACAATAAATCCCTGCCCATTCATTTCCCTCTGGGGAGGAAAAAAAGTCCATGTGAGAACATTACCGGGGGGGGGGGGTATATTTACACCCTTTAACAAAATAAATTCCTTGAAGGGCTAGAGTTCCCCTCCCCACTTTATACCTTTATAAACAAGTCCCCCACCCAGGCACACAGTAGAGGCTCGGACGCCACAGGCGCTGGATGCGCGCACATCGATATAAAGGCAGCCTCCATTTCCACCCCCATGAGCTGAAGAGAAAAAACAAAAACAACAAGAAAGCAGCCCCCACCCTGCCCCCACATTTAGCAAAATGACAAAGACTCTTGGTTTTTCACAGTTGGGAATGATAACTGAGAGATGCCACATTGACGGACTGCGCACATGAGATTATATCAAAAGGCGTGGCTTCATTTTGCTTAGGCCGGACTGCAGTCTCCCCCCACTGCCACCTCCTCCCTCCCTTCCTTTGCCCCCCCCCCCATTGACCTTAGCGCAAAGGAATGCTATAGATCACATTCAATTTTGCAGGTTATATATATATATATTTAAAGCAACCTTTCCCAGCCTGGTGGCCTCCGAAAGGTTTGGGCTCTTTATTCCCATCAGCCCCAGTCAAGGATGATGGGAGTTGTAGCCCAAAAATATCTGGAGGGTACTAGGTCGTGGAAATCTTGATTTCAAGGCTACTTTTCTTCAGTCCAGAACAGTTGTATTCTCTTCGTTTTATGTATCCTGAAATTGGGGTTTCAATATTTGGAATTTTTCTCGATCACCCCGAACTATTCCCGCTACACCTTCCACACCCAAACGATGCGGAAGGTTTTCTTTCTTTCCGATTTTAAATTTTTTGATACTATGACAAAAAACACATTTCACACTAAGATATTCACGCACCCACAGTGCACAAGCTTGCAGATCTAATGAAATTCTTTTTTAAAAAATGGAAAAAAAGATGGTTCTATACAAAGGGCTGGTCTCCTTCACCTCTACATCCTTTTTACCCACATCCCTGTTTGTACATTTATTTATTTTAAAAAGCAGCGAAGTCACAACTTTAAGCACAAGACCACTGCATGAACTCTGTAAATTCTGGGTGTGATCCCGAATAGAACAAGGGGGACCTAAGTTTCATACAGTGGTATGTGAGCAATGGGGCAAAAATGCTGAACATGAATATTCAGGTAAGAAAAGTTAAGAAGATCATTAAGTGCTTCAGAAATCAACTTAAATATCAGATCAAACCTCCCATATCAGATTATTTGATGCATATTCTCTCTCTCTCTTAAAAACAACAACAAAAACCCTTGAATATTTCCTAACAACTTTGTAGAATCAGAAACTGGAGGATGGGGGGCGGTGGTCCTACTTTTCCAGCAGACCATTGGTGACTTTTGCCAGAAATGGATAAAAGACTGCCTCCATCCATATATTTTGTTGCATGCGCAGAGACCAGGATCCTGCTCATTTCATTATCTTCGAAAGCTCTCAAGGGTACACCCTCTGTTGTATTCAGCTGAACTGAATGGGATACCCTCTGCTTTTATTGAGTTTTTTGATATGAAGTTTTGGATCAGGGTGTGATTATGGAAACTGAATTCCTTTCAATGGGCTTTTTGAATCAGGATTGCACAGCAATAGTACTTAGTAGATTACCTCCACCTTGCCTCCTCTCCAAAATTATGCCAAACTCCCGTAAGTGGTGAGCTTCACTACATTTTAAACATTGTGTAGGCTGAAAGGAAGCCATATCTGCAGCAATATATTTTAAATAAGGAGGGAGAGTGGGTAATTTTTAAAACTTACCTTCTGAGACCCGCCCTTAACTATACAACCTCCCCTTTGGCTTAACTAACCTTAGGGGGGGATTCCTGGAGAGGAAAGGGGAGATAATGCCTTAGAATAAGAAAAAGAAAAATAACTTACTTCCTGTATTCAGTTTTGACCCTGACTCCACACCACCACTGAGCAAGTGCTTAAGTTCAAGCCAGTGACTTTTCTCTCAAAGGGGTAACGTGTTCAAAAGCGAACAGCTTTGCACATAATAGATCCTCCAATCTTGCACTACACATTTAAGCCTTTGGACACATGTGTAATGCAATGAAGCTTTGGACATTAAAGGTCTCATATTCCATGGACAGGAATTGGGGTGGACCCTGTCAAATTGGACTAAGCCAATCAAAGCAGAGGGGGAGCCATGAACCTATCAAATCTTCAGCCAATCAAAGCAAATGGAGAACCATTCTGACCTTGAGATTTGATCCAAGTAAGAGATTTGGAGCTGCTTGGAGCTGAACCATCGTGGCCCAGCAGCCTGGTCCTAAAAACACCCTGGAAATATGATTTCCATCAAAAGCAAATTCTAACCTATTCGTTTGAGAGGAAGCATTTTTGAGACTCAGGTTTGCAGCACAAGATATTCATTCTTGAAGATGGATTGACTTACACTTCTTACACCCTAACCAGCTATACTTGGACCGTGCACCAACAAAGCCACCTTTCCCAGTGTCCTAAATTGCAGATATTGTGCTGATGCTTTTCAGAACTTCACTCCCCTATTCACACACTTAAAGTTAAACTCATGCTCATCAGTAGGGTACCCTGAAGCAGGACACTGATTGGACTTTACGTGGCCCATTTGTATAAAACGGAGGAAAAGGGTAAGGGTTTGCTCATTTTTCTTACTCCAGTAAGAAATAAAAAAATGATAATAATTAAAAAAGAAAGAAAAGACAAAAGGGGAAACACCTACTGTAAACATCCATTATTTCAAAATGTCTCCCTTTGCAAAGCAAGCATGCTGATCAACCTACTATCTATATAGCCTGTTTTTACTTTCTCTCTCAGTCTCTCTCTCTCTCACTCGCAATCTCTCTTTAAAAAAAGGCAGCTATTTTACATAGACATTTAAACACAACAAAAGTTTTAAAAAACGTTTTGTCGACTGTAAACACTGGAAGAAAATAAAGTTGGCAAAACCAAATTAAACAAAAAACAAAACAAGGAATACTGCACTTTGAAATATAAACTCCAAAATTGCCCAAAGGCATTCTTCCTAAAATGAAACATGTTGGAATTATCACCTGTACCAAAAGGGGGTGCAATCGGCCAAAAACGTCTTCCACGCAAGCCCCATTTAAATGAACATCCACGGGTACCCTGCACACGTCCCGTTCGTTCCAGAGGGCTCTGCGCAACAGACGCTGATGGGGGATTGCCCCTTTAGAAAGGAGAACAGAATTCAGTCAGGAAGGGCAAACACACTTTGCGTACAGGACAAATTCAAAGTGAACCAAATAAAAATAAAATGGGGAGGAGATAACTTACTTCAAAGAGTTTACAGGTTTTTCTCAACTCGGCTGAAAAGTATAAAAATAAACGATCTGCGACTGGCCACCCCAGTCTGCTCAGCCTGGCAGAGCCAAGTCTGGCTTCCTAATTCTGTTCTGAATCTCCTAAACATGCTGCAGTTGGGTTTTTTGTTTTGTTAACTCTGCATGGATATTTCGCAAGGGCCCTGGTATCCTAGTGGGGTTATGGGCTTATCCTTGTAGAAGACAAAGAAGTAAAACATTTCGTTTCTTAAAAGCAAGTGCACATAAAATAAAATTCTTCCTACAAACCTAAAAAAACAAAAAACAAAAACCCACCACAATTTCCCCATTGTATGCATTTTTTTTGTCTGTTTTCTTTTTAAAAAAGGCAAAGACATTAGAGGGATGAGATGTGTGTTGTGTGTTTTAAATGCTCAGGTGAAGTTGTTTGTTCTGTCAATTTTTTTAATTTTTTTGTTTTGTTTTGTTTCGGCTCAGTTGCCCATCATGCTTTGCTCTCGTTTTCATTTGTTTGTGTGGCTTCATTGGGTACCGTCTTGACTTCTGCTGCGGGGGCTGTCTTGGCTTCTGTGGCTTGAATTGCAGACTTTTCATCTACGGGGGTTTTCCTGTTGGGAAAGTCACCAAATATTGTGGATTAAACGAAGGCTGGTAGCTGCCCTTTCAACAAAACTTGGTGCCTGAGAAAGGAGAAGCCCTCCATGCTAGAGTTTATGCTTCTCAAGACTGCGACAAAAAAGCAGGATGCAAGCCCTCTCCCCCCCAATTTCTTTGCCTCAGCCAGTTGACTGCAAAACACAACCACCTAGCAAGTCTTGGGTTGCAGGAGAAAAGTCCCTTGGTTTGCATTTTTAAGCCAACTATATATACTAACACATGGATTGAAATGTCACAAATTGCTTCTTTTGGAAGTTTTACCCCCTTTACTATTTGTGTGCTGACAAAAAGAATATTCTCAACCATTTATGAAATGTATAAATGTCCAACAATACTAAAATATTATTAACAATAATATTAGAATGTTCTCAACACAATCCCCAACAGCAGAGATACCTTCAGAGACACATGGCAAGCCCTTGGGTGACTCCTACTCATGGCCTGGGTTTTGTCCTAAAAATGGTTTCTTGTTAGAATAAGGCTGCCATTTCAGTTTCTGAAATTTTGGGAACTGTGCTTCTCATGGTTAATTGAATATGTGATTTAAGGTTTCCTAAGGCTTCAAAACGAAACTGGAAGGGTTCTGAAGCCCAGTTCATCCCTACCCACCACTGGTCCTTTTTTACTCCTCCGTGTGAACCATGTTTTACCCCTCTGCTGCAACTAGAACCAAGTGAGGAATTCAGCCACATTGGCATGTTGTACAGGAACTTCTCCACCTTAAAACCGGGGCCCAAGCAATCCTCTCCATTATCGGTATTATCCTCTAGCGTTGCCTGGTTCAATCATGCTGGCTACTTTGCTCCAGGGAAAAGGCGGAAGAAAGCTTAACACATACCCGGTTGACAGAGATGTGGGAACCCATGGCTCTCCAGATTTTGTTAGGGTACAGCTCCATTGGCTATACTAGGTGCAGCTGATGGGAGTTAAAGAGTCCAACAACATCTGGAGGGCCACAGGTTACCCACCCCTGTGACAGAATCTCCCACTTAGAGGAAAGTCGCCTCTTCTAAATATCCAAATGTTAAGGCCTTCCAGTTGTAACCTTGCAAAAAAAAAAGACTACCCTCACGTCCATCCCTTATTTGTAGATGCCATTTGGCAGCAAAATTATTATCCCGTGACAAGCTGTAGCAAACAATTTGCTTCTTAGAAGCTAAAGGTGACTCCATCCTGGGTGCCTTCCAACTGAATCCTCTAAGCTGGAATCCGATGGAGCTGTTGAGATAACTTAGGACATGAGGAAGGGAGCTTATAACAACAGAATCTGGAGACTACTGCTTGATCACAGGCCCAAAGACACCCAGATTCTAAACTTTCTGTTATGGTTGGTTGGTTAAATAGACAGGTTAGCTTGCTTAGAGAAAGAGCCAGGTTAATTCGTAACACACACACAGAAGTGGAGCAAAAAGCACGGCACAGCACGGACAAGAGACACAGCACACGAACAAGCAGGGTTTAAAGCGGGGAGGCATACTCTGTCTTTGCAGGCGCTGCCGATGCAGAACTCTCCGGGCCGGAGGAAGCTGCTTGGCCTGCAGGTGCAGTGGCAGGAGCCGCCGTGCCCAAGGCGGCAAAAACATCCTTGGCAAGATCAATGTCTGGGGTCTTGAAGGTCCCTTCGTCCATTTTAAAGTCCTCATTCTGAGTAGCATTTGTGGTGCCCCCCGTGGCAGCCTCGCCTTTCTGGTTCATGGCATTCTTGGCCGCCTCTGTCGGAGTCTTCGCCGCGCTGGGCTGCGTGGCTTCCTTTTCTGGACTTTTGGCGCTGGAGGCCTCCTGCTTTGGCTCTGAAGAGGCTGGAGAGCTAGCGGGGTTTGGGGGCTGTGGGGCAGGGGATTTGCTGGCAGCAGCAGGGCCCTTGGGAGCCTCGGGCGCTTTTGTGGTGGAGCTAGGGCTCAGCACTGCCCCTTGGTTGGTCAGGACGCCGGACGACAAGTTGCCAGTGGCCGGGGCGGAAGTAGGAGTGTCGCTGAGGTCAACCAGGGGAGCCACTTTAGGCGTGGAGGTGGGTGGGGGCGAAGATGCCGAGGCTGCTTTCGAAGGCGTCCCCTGATTGGGAGCCACGGAATTGGAGTCGGGCATGGGCGTGGCCGGCAGAGTGATGCTGGAGGTGAGGGTGGTAGTCTCACTGGTGGGGCTATTCTGAGCGGTGGCAAAGGTTTCAGTGATAGTGTCAGAGTTAGTGGTGACTGTGGTGACAGACGGCATCATATCCTCGGTGGCTGCCGTGGTGTCGGCAGGGTGCCTGTGGGGGTGAAAGGAAGTAAAAGGCGGGGGGAGGAGGGGAAAGAAAAGAGAGAAACAAGACAATGAAAGCCATGAAAGCAGCAGGCGGCTGGGTAAGTCAATGCAACTGCAGAAAATAACATGCGGTTATTTAACACAGAGAGAGAAGGAAGAAGGAAGACATGGAGGCAAGAAGAGCACCGAGCCTTTGGATGCGAGGCTAATCATATTAGGGAGACCCTGAAGGATAAGGGGACACATCCTTGGTATCAGAGGAGGCTGTTTGAAGAGAGTACCTGCCTTGACCCCAGGGCTTTTTTTCTACAAAAAGAGGTGGTGGAACTTGCTGAGCAAGTAAGGGGAGCACCCACCTTCTCTTCTTCACCCCAACTGCCACTTTTGGCGACACTGCTGCCGCCCTCCACCTCCGGCGCACAGCCACAGTCGCTGCGCCAACATGATCGCTGCAGCAAGCTGATGGTCACGACACACAGCCCCAGGTGCCATGCCACCTGCTGGCAAACAGTCCAAACCTAAAGAGGTGCCGGAATGTACCTAAGAGGTACCGGAACTCAGTTCCGGCTGAAAAAAAGCCCTGCTTGACCCTCTCTGGGTCACAATGAGATTCGCAGCACATCCTCCAAAGATGCAAATCTGCCTGAACAAACTTTTTGACTCCTCCTCTGGGAATGGTCAGCAGCTGTACTTCATGCATTTCATTGCCATTTAATCCCAACTTTCACATTCCATTCCTCCTCCACCACCGCCACAGCCCAATATAAAACTGCCAACTGAGAATAATGCTTCAGAAATTTGATAGTCCACAAAAGCTTTGCCACAATAAAGTTTTTAAGGTGCCATGAGAGGTTTTCTTCTCTTTGGAAACATATTATTATTACTCCTATCCACCACTTCCTCAGGACTGCTCAGCCTTCCTTCCCTCTAGTTCTCTCTCTCTCTCTCTCTCTCTCTCTCTCTCTCTCTCTTGTAAACACACAGAGCTGTCTTTCACACAATGGAGCCTAAAGAGGGGCTCTGCTCCCCTCTCCTCTCCAAGGACACACCCAGGGGGCTTCTACATTCACAACATACTCTGGCTCCGTTAGCGGCGTGGTTTCATTAGGTTCCGTGTGTTTCCCTCCATCGTGGTTCGGGGTCCGTTCCTCCTCTGTCCGCACTTCCACAATGGGCTCTTTTGATTCATCTTTCCTGTAAGGGAGGAAAAGAAGCAGGGTTAGTTCAATCCCCAGTACCTCCCAGTTTAAAAAATATCAGCTAGCAGGACTGCGAAAGATCCCCTGCAGCTTTTACCATCTTACTATGGGAGGGGCAGATGGGAGAAAGGATGGTCTTTCTCATCATGGGAAGTGCAGACAATTTTCCATTCCATTTCTTTCTTGGAGCAATGTGCAATGTAAATACAACTATATATATGTATGTATAATGAAAACAAAATTACTCACGAGAAGGCAGCCTTGCCCTCTTCCATGTCCTTGCCTTTTGCCCCAGGACCGGATTTGCCACACAGGTTGACTGCGATGCACATCAGGAGGCCACACTTGTTCAAGAAGTAGCAGGTGACGTCCACAGCCACCAGCAGGAGGACAAAGACCACAATGAGGATGCCCACAATGGCAGCAGTGCCCAGTCCTGCGGTAGGGCTTGTGCTAGCTTTAGAGGCCAAGAGAGAAAAGGGAGAAAACATAGAAGTTTGCAAGTCGGGATGAACATTTTTCTTTTAGCACAGACATGCTTCTATCTAATTTCCTGTTTGAGCAGGTGAAGCATCGCCGGTGTAAGGAATACTTCATCTCCTTCCAGAACACCCCTTTTTACCAACAGAGAAATGTTGTCATCAGAAAGCAAAACAGTTGCCCTCCTCACCTCCATTAATAAATCCAACGTATGTTTGTGTGAGAGAAAGATGCTGTTTGTAGAATTTTTTTTTTTGCCCAAACCCGCCCCCCCCCGCCCCAATAAAACAGATTCTAAATAAAACAAAGAAATGGCACTTCACTCAATTTTACTCTTTGGACATAGCCTAAAACATGCACCAGCTAAGAATCCTGTAATTGTCTTATCAAGTTGCATTCAGAACAATTAAGAGGCCACCTAGTGGCCAACGCAGTCCAAAATCCATCCTCCATTTTCAAATGCAACGTTGGAAGCTGGCAACTTACTCCTATCATGCATGTCACAAGGGAAGCGAATTATGGGAGTTTAGCTGGACTTTGGTTCTCAATATAAGGTTTTCTATTGACCAGGTGTGGGGAACCTTTGGCCTTCGAAATGCTGCTGACCTACAAGTCCCATCAGTACCAGCGAGCATGACCAATGGACAAGGAACATGGGAGTTGTAGTTCAGCATCATCTGGAGGACCACAGGTTCCTCACTGCTGTTCTTGACATATAATGCGACCAAACACTTTCTAGAAATGACCTATCCTGGGCATAGAGTCGTCAATCTGCAAAGTGGTGTCCTTAGTTAGCCCAGGCATCCTTTACCTTGTGTATATACAAGAAGGATGCAAGAAGGGCCCTATAACATAGAACAGGGTTGCAGAGCCTGTGGGAGCCCTCCCAAAATTGTTGGACTCCAACTCCCATCAGCCCCGTTAGTATGCTCAAGTTCAAAACTGCTGGGAACTGGAGTCCAACCATGTCTAGCAGGCCCTAAGTTTATCATCCCTTGCTAAGAACAATTTTACATGTTCCAAGATTGCAGATAACACTGCTCAAGAGAACTTAGCTGGCTGTTGGAAACATTTTTATTTCAACTAGCTGCCTTTTGACCAGTGGCGTAGCTAGTTGCTCAGGTGCTTGGTGTAGCATGTGTCTCACAGCTGGGGGGGGGGCGCGAGCCTCCCATGGGGGCGGGGCACACTGCGTGGAGCCTCTCTGCAGCCTCCCCCTCAGCTGTAGGACGGCTGAGGAAGAGGTGGTGGACAGACGCAAGCTCCACGCTGCCGTTTCAGGCAGCGACGAACCTGCAGGCGCTCAAGCCACCATGTCACTCCCAGGAGGGACACGTGGCTTGGGCATGCTGCAGGCCCCATGGTAAGTGCCGGCCCCCGTGATGTGGCACCCAGTGCCAGTCACGTTTTGTTGTGTTTGTTAACTGAGCAAAAATGTTTCGTGAGCTCAATTATTATTTTTTAAAAACCTCATTTTTTTGGTCATTTTGTCACCCCCCCCCCCAGTGATAACACCTGAGGCGGCCCGCACCTACCGCACACCCCTTCCTCCGCCACTGCTTTTGACATGTGGTGACATTAGGGTCTGCTGCTTTAAATGATTATTACATTATTATTCTTTCCAAAATTGGTAGTTTAGTGGTGCCTTTTAATTTCTTGCTGCTTTGCATTTACTAATGCTTTCTCCTTGATTGCTATTTCATTATGTATGCAGCTTGGTAGTTTTCAAACCAGTGGGGCAAAATACTAAGTAACAACAGGACATTGTAACACAGCAACCCACCTTTAAGTTTCTGAACACTCGACTGGGAAAGTGCGGAGACCACCTACGTATTGGTAATAGTTTTAATGCCAGACGGCTTTTCTCTTAACTTTGCTATGTTGCAACAGGGCAGGAATTGACCAGAAGAAAAAAATAATTAAAAAAGGCTAAACTGAAGGTTGACCTGGTCAAATTTCTCAGCAGGTAAATCCTGTTAACCCCTCAGGAAGTGGGATTTCCTCTTGCCAAAGATGGAATTACCTACAATGCAATCGAACTCCTCCTTGGGAAAATAAGAATACTTTTGTTTTCCAGAAACACCCTAATCCTGGGAAACCAGGCCTAAGCATGCAAAAGCACCATGCATGAGGCATAATTTTTAGTAATCTTAACCCCAAAACTTGTAACTGACCAGGGAGGGGTAAGCTTTTAAGAGTTGTGTGTAGTACACAAACACCATGAGCCCCTAGACAAACGTGTAACAGAAGTGTTGAACAAACTTGCACAGAACTAGCCCTCTGAATTATTTAATTAAACTATCAGTTAAATATGCATCTGAATAGTAAGTGATGCTAACATATGCAATCCATACTAACATAATGATCCAAGTGAAGGATTATAGTCAACTAAGTTCTGCTCAGGGTAGACACACTGAAATTAATGAACCTAAGTTAGTCATGTCCATTAACTTCAATGGGTCTGAATCTGTTCATGCAGATTGGCTCCTAATCTGCAAAGGAAACTATACAGTATCTTGGAAGTCGAACGGAATCCATTCCAGAATTCCAATTGACTTCCAAAATGTTCAGAAACCAAAGCGCGGCTTCTGATTGGCTGCAGGAAGCTCCTGCAGCCAATTGGAAACTGAAGAAGCCCCATCAGACGTTCAGCCTCCAAAACTAGTTCGCAAACTGCAACAGTCACTTCTGGGTTTGTGGCGTTCGGGAGTCAAAATGTTCAAGAACTAAGCTGTTTGAAAACCAAGGTACGATTGTATTTGGAATCTTTTTTTGTTTCTTTGCTCCATGCTGTCTCCAGAATGGAGATAGTTGATAAGCAAGTGACCATTTTGCTAGATGTGCAGCAAGTCACCTTAGCAGTCTGCCCCTTGGTGAGGCACATCACATGTCTCTCCAAAATCGTACGCTACCAAATGCTGGGATCTATCAAGCAAGGGAGGTGATTGGGAGAGAAGCCATCATTCCTTGCTTGTGGCACTCAGGGGACCACTACTGGGGAACACGGTATCAACCTAAGATAGACTGCTGGTCTAACCCACCATAGCAATACATACATTTTTATGACCCAAGTCTGGAATGAAGGCTTAGCGAATGGTGAATTGCAAACTCTATCCTTTGGTCCAGGGCTTAACATGTCACCTTGGAAAGCTCTGATGGAGGCAAAGTTTTCACAGGTGATAACATCTTTCACTGCACATCAGCCAACCAGGACAGAGTCTCTTTGCGGTAAGATTGCTCTTGCTTTTATTGGCCTTTGTCAGCCCTTATTAATGTGTCTTGAAGTTATTATCATGTTTTACAGATGAGGTTCAAGAGGAGACAACCAAAGCCCTACAAATCTATCCACTTTCCTAACCCCATGGTTCTGTTCTTTTTCCTGTTTTTATTCTGAAATGCATCTCACCGCTTGAAGAGTCTAAAATTAATTTTGGGCCTGAAGCATGTGCAGTTTGCCGCAATATCCCACTCATCTCTCTCTCTCTTTCTCTCTCTGGCCTTCTATGTTATCAAGGTATACACATGCACTGATGAAGCAGTGCAAAAAAGCCAAATTAGATGTGATTGTCTGACTGCATCTCAGTTCTTTCTCACAGTAAGAATTTTGCTAGAATCATATGCTCAAGCATACCGTCTGCTTTAAAAAAAACACCCAGTGCACATGTGCATTGTACAGAGCTCTGATCACCCCACCTCAGCCCGAGCCTCTGCTGCCCTGTCAATATGAAGTTCCACTAAGAAGTCCCATATTAACCACAATCTCTCCCCAGCAAAGTCAAAGCACTGTGCTTCTCTTTTTTGCTTTGGCTGGTGAAGTCTGACATTTGCATCAGAAGTCCATTAAGCGCTTTGCAGAATGCCTGCGCCAGCCAGATCAGCTCTCTGCCAAAATACATAATTAAACAAATTCATCACCCTTGGTTCTTGCAAGGAGAGGGAGGGGGCGCCATACGCATTCCCTCTTGTAATGTAGTCTAAATTCACGCATGGATTATTCAGCTGTTAACAGTCTTCTCTCTCTTGCCAGCTATTGGAGGAGAAACTTTAGCAGAGACGTCAAATCTTTCCTTCTCCTCATCTCAAATTCCCATCTGGGAAATCCAAAAGAAGCAATTCTGAATGCCTGCGGTACACATTCACTCTTATATGGCACTTTAATTCTGGCCTAGGGACGGGGACAGAAGAAGCATTTAGTGAATGCCAGAGGGGTCCCTGCCTTGGGGGAAGATCTCTGAAACAAGTAACATCCTGCTAGTTGGAACCGTGAAGGCTACATTTAGGAAAGGCTATTAACCATGAATGCTAAACCTCAATGTATATATATACCTTTTGCATACCCAATTCTTCTTGTATTCTTCAGTCATCCAACGAAGCTGAACATTGGGAGATTGAAAGCAGACAAAAGGAAGTATTTTCACACCGCAAACTATGGGATTTGCACCCACAAGCTGTAGTGATGGCCTCCAACTTGGGCGAATTTAAAAGAGGTTTAGACAGACTCGTGGAGGATAACGCTATCAATAACTACTAGCCACAATGGCCATGTTCTGCCTCTGCTATTGGGGATGTTATGCTGCTGAATAATGCTAGGCCCTGGGAAACATGAGCAAGATTGCAGACTTCCCATAATGGGGCATCTGGATGGCCACTGGGAGAAAAGGATACTGGAGTAGATGGGTCTTTGGCTTGTTCCAGCACCCAGGCTGTACTTATGGTGGTGGGGGTGAAACAGCAGGGATTGACTAAGCACTATCATACTCTGTTGGTCAGATTCTTGGAGGTATGTGGCTCTATCCTGGCAACACAATCCCAGACTATACAGACTGTGAGCCAGATCCAGCAAATACACTTATTCTGTGCTGTGACTAACTGGTGCGGGGCATTAATTCAGAGCTTCAGAGAATGCTTGACCTATTGTCATTCTGTATTTTGGTAGGGTCTCTCTCCCTGTCCCACTTTGTGCCTCATGTTCCTTTCTGGCTCCCTTGGGCGTTAGGTGGTTGAGGAACCA